CTGCCGCCGCCTCCCGCGGCGCCTCTCACCGCCTTCGACCTGTCCGAGGCCGAGTCGCGGTTGCCGCTCCTCGCAGACTACGGGCGGCTCAAGCCCGTCGACGACTTCCCCGCCCCCGCCGCGCCGCCGTCCGCGCACTGGAGCGCCGGGAGCGCCTTCACCGGCACCGAGCCCGCGACCGCCTCCACCTCCACGGCGGCGACAGGCTCCTCCCTGCCACCGGCGTCGTCCGCCGCCAGGGACGACACGTGGGTGCGCCGCTCCAGAGAGAGCTACTACCTGCAGCTCTCCCTCGCCATCCGCATCACCTCCGAGGCCTTCCTCGCCGGCGTCCCGCCCGAGCTCCTCCTCCGCCGCTTCGGCTCCGGCGATGCGGCGACTGAGCTGCACGCCGACGTCCCCATCGATGCCGCCGCCGTCTCCTACCGGCTCTGGGTAATAGTCTCGCGGATCACACTAATCATTGCAAGTACCAACTGATAGATTAATCATGCAGTACGTCTCTCTTCTCCATTGATTTGTTTATGTCTGAAGCTATATGTATGCACATTGAAAATTGCAACTTGAGGCCAATCAAGGCGTGCGACCTTCAGCTTCATCATTGGCCGCATTTTTCTAAGCGACATGGTTATTGACAGGACGCGCTCGATTTTTTTTTAGATAAATTGTGTTTTCACTGGGCTAGCAATGTTTGGGTGCAGGTGAACGGGTGCCTGTCGTGGGGTGACAAGATCGCGCACGGGTTCTACAACATCATGGGCATCGACCCGCACCTGTGGGCGATGTGCAACGCCGACGAGGGGGAGGGCCGCCGGCTGCCGACGCTGGCGGCGCTGCGGGAGGTGGACGCTAGCGACCAGTCGTCGCTGGAGGTGGTGCTCGTCGACAAGTGCGGCGACTCCGTGCTGGTCGACCTGGAGCGGCGCGCGCTTGACCTCTACCGCGCGCTCGGCGCCACGCTCGACCTCGTCCGCCGCCTCGCCCTGCTCGTCTCCGACCACATGGGGTGCGTACGTCACCTCCTCCGATCGATTTTCATTTGATTTGCTTTCGAAGAAAAAGGTTAGCCTGGTCCGTGCCGATGCATGTCTCGCCCGTGTGTGCCCGTGCTCCCTGTGAGTGTGACCGTGACTGACCTTCGATAGACCAGTAGACATGCAAGTTGACGACCTGCTCGTCCGTGAACCTCGGAACCTGGGCACCGACGAACATGTGAACAACACTCCAATTTCAGAGACCACTTTATGTCTTAAAACGTACTAGTACATGCTACTCAGTTCTAGATACATCCATTTCCGAGACAAGTAATTCCGAACGGAGGGAGTAGACTCCATGGATCAAACGACCGCCATGGCTGGTCACGTTCCTGTCTGTACGTCCATGCTGTTATGCCATTCGTTACATACAACTTGAGCTTTGTTGATCAAAATTTCCAGTAATTTATAACTTGAGCAGACGAATTTGAGCTAAATTTGATGGTTGTATTTTGAAGGGGTGCATTGAGATCGGAGGACGGAGACCTGTACATGCGGTGGAAGGCGGGCAGCAAGCGGCTGAGGAAACAGCAGAAGAGCGTCGTCGTCCCCATCGGCCGCCTATCCATCGGGTTCTGCAGGCATCGCGCCATTCTCTTCAAGGTCTCCGGCATTGCTTCACTTACCGTTACAATCCATGCTATGTTACTCTAGGCCAGCAGGTTACTTTCAGTCCAGTCATCTTCTCCAAACTGATGCAGGCTCTAGCAGATTTTATCGGCCTGCCGTGCCGAATCGCGCAAGGTTGCAAGTACTGCTCTGCGCCTCACCGCTCCTCTTGCCTTGTCAAAATTGAAAACGACAGAAGATATTCAAGGTATATATGTGCCTTGTTTTTTTTCCAGCTATGTATATTTCAGGGCAGAGCTGAAGCAGTGAAGCTGCAGTCTGTTTTTAGCATGATTCTGTGTTACTGATGGCTTACATTGACGAGGAAGTATGCTCAGTTTGCTTTGCAATTTTGCTGGTGCTTCTTCAGGGAGTACGTTGTGGACCTCGTGGTCGTGCCAGGGAGCATCTCCAACCCAGACTCGTCCATCAACGGCCAGCTGCTCTCCTCCGTGTCTTCCCCTTTCAAGACTTCTTGCACCGCAAGTTTGGAAAACTATGCGGCACCTGTTGCGGCTTGGAATCGTGCGATAGCTGACGATCGTTGCAACTCGATGTTCTCAGATTCTCAATATTCAGGTACAATCTACAACAGCGTAATAGCTCAAAGATATCAGACATCTAGGCCATGCGGATGCACATACTGATTGACCGTGTACTATAGCAGTTGCTGGGGACAAGAACCCTCTTCAGGCAGACACCAACGAGGGTGTGGTGCTGAAATGCGGTCAGGTCATGCAGAATGACAACTGCAACAACATGTCAGTGTTTCAAGTGCCGAAGCAATTGAAGGCAATGGAGCTCGGCACCAAGGATGTCAATAAGGAGAACATCCCTGGTCTTACACTGCCGAAACACCTGCTCGCTGAGTCATCTTTCGCCATGGATTGGCTTGAGATATCATGGGATGAGCTTGAGCTCAAGGAACGCATAGGCGCTGGTACTTGCTTAGCTTCAGTATTCTTATCAACTTGCTGCATTATGTGGATTTGATCACAGTTTACTGAAATGCAGGTTCATTTGGTACCGTTTATCGAGCTGACTGGCACGGTTCTGTAAGTACCTTAGACTTTTCCCTATGGAGACCTTTCTGTCCAATGAGATAAGTATCCTTTGCAGAGATCATGGAAATGAGGTTGTAGTTTTGGGTATGTAGGACGTTGCAGTAAAAGTGCTTACAGACCAGGGTGTGGGTGAAGCTCAGCTGAAAGAATTTCTCAGAGAGGTTTGCTTCAACATTTCTTTTTTGCATCGAAACTTTACTTACGATTAGTATGGATCTCAATTGTCTTCTTTAATTCGGGACAGTTTTGAACATTGCAGATCTCTATCATGAAACGAGTTCGGCATCCAAACGTGGTATTATTCATGGGCGCAGTGACAAAATGCCCGCATTTGTCGATAGTAACTGAGTACCTGCCCAGGTAAACCCTCCGTCAGTTTCACGGACAATATGAGCTTAATTCCCTGCATCGAACAGAATCGCTGAATCCTTATGCTGTGAACAGAGGGAGCCTCTTCCGTCTCATCAGCAAAGCTTCCAGCGGGGAAATACTTGATTTACGGCGGCGTTTGCGCATGGCATTAGATGTTGTATGTATTGTAATACTAACTTCTACAGATAAGCATGCTCCTGAAACGTTACTAGTCTCCCTGAATGTGATATGAAGCATTGCTGTGACTGAAATGCAGGCAAAAGGCATCAACTATCTCCACTGCCTGAACCCTCCTATCGTACATTGGGATCTGAAGACACCAAACATGCTGGTGGATAAGAACTGGTCTGTAAAGGTTAGTTGGAATTCATCTTAGCATGATCGAAAATGGCTGCTCTGCTTTCGTCTCTTTATTTACTATCCTTGATATGACTGCAGGTAGGTGACTTCGGCTTGTCCAGATTTAAGGCGACCACCTTCATATCGTCCAAATCAGTCGCTGGAACAGTAAGCTTTGCATGACAGTCTGCTCAGTTAGTAACTTGCCATTACATCTTTTTGGATTCTTAATATAAAATTCTGGTAACTGCAGCCAGAGTGGATGGCACCAGAATTTCTCCGTGGCGAGCCATCCAACGAGAAATGTGACGTGTACAGCTTCGGCGTGATCTTATGGGAGCTCCTGACAATGCAGCAACCATGGGGCGGCCTAGGCCCAGCACAAGTAACCTTCCATCTCATTTCTGTGTTCTCTTATATGGTATAGGAAAAAAAAAAGGCAGACATTCGTGATTCACTAGAGTAATATTTACAGGTAGTAGGGGCAGTTGCATTCCAGAACAGAAGGCTCCCAATCCCCAAAGACACCATCCCAGAACTAGCTGCTCTTGTTGAATCATGTTGGGCTGAGTAAGCAAATTTCACATGACCTGCCAGCCACCTTGATCAAAATTTCAAGTGACAGCATCCATTAGTTCAGCCTACGTTTAAAACAAAACATCATCATCGATAACACAATTTTGCTTTATTTTCAGTGATCCAAGGCAACGGCCTTCGTTTTCGAGCATTGTGGATACGCTGAAGAAGTTGCTCAAGTCGATGCAGGGATCCGGTTCATGACGGTCCCTCGGATGTTACTCAAGACGATGCAGGGATCCGGTTCATGACAGTCCCGTGGATTCTTGGCCGGCCATTCTTTACGCTCTGTCGATTAAAGCTAATCCACAAGAAGGAATAAGGAAGTAAGTTGCCTTCAGGCACATGAGAGGGTAGCTGAAGCAGCACGAGCGCAATGCTGCATCGAGGATGCTGGCTCGTTTCCTGACCATTCATGTTGCCTCTGTATAGTGATTTGAGCTACAAATTCAAAGCTCTAGAGGGTCAGTGAGGTGGTTATGTAAAATGTCCTGAATGTGTCAAAATAGTTCTACTGGCTGAGCAATAGCGCCGTCACTTTAGAAAAATGGGAGATAGATTTGATAACAAGCATAACTGCTCACATGGTTCTACGCCGAGTTCCCAATTTCCATCAAAACATCCAACTGAACTGAACTTATATGAACTTCACAACAGGGAGCATCATACTGGAACTGAACATATCCAACTGAACTGAACTGAACTTATATGAACTTCACAACAGGGAGCATCATACTGGAACTTAACATATCCAACTGAACTGAACTTGAATGAATTTCACAACAGGGGAGCATCATACTGGAACTGAACATATCTCATCGTTTTTAGCATCGTCAACCTGTCCCCAGCCAATGTTTTTAACAGAAATTCCACCATTTCAGCAAGGAGAACGCATATCACGAGACATGACTATATATCATCTAGACTGATCGTTCCGTGGGACAAAATACTATTATCACGGACTACCTACATGGGACAAAATCCACCTCGCTTTGCATTTCGCAGATTACACGATCCGCTCGAGCTCCCGTGCGTAGCAAAGAGATCGCTTGATCATCTGATGCGCTTGTATGCCGACACGGGGTTGGACCTTCGCCATGTGGAAAAGGACCGAATGATTCTGAACCTCCCATTCATGTTGTATCTGCCAACATAAGGAGTACTTGTATAGTCAGGAAGTGGTCGCGTTAACAATCACACATTCTATTAGTATATGGTTCTTCAGTAGAGTAGCAGCTTAGTGGTTGCACTCATGCCTCCAACAAGATGTGATTTACCACCCTTTAAGTTATTCAGACGCCAATCGTTCACTATGACATTATTCATATCAACATGGTGATGGGACAGAAGACGAGAAATTAATAGTTACCTCTGATATGTACTCCAGAAGCTTTTGCTCAGAGGAAAACATCAGCATTTTTCTGGTATCATCCACTGGCAAGTGGTCGTATGCCTGACCACTGCAATCAGCTATCTCATCTCTGCAAAAGAAGACATAGAGAACACAATCAGGAACTTCACCACACGAGCAAACGTAGAAAACATAATATAAATTCGTTCACCTAACAGTTTCAGCAAGAAGGTCCATGAAGTAGAGGTATGTCTCATGTGGCACAGCTTGTCGACCATCAGTTAATCGGTTGTAGGTACCTTCCATAAAGGATTGCTCAAGCTCCACTGCATATTTGATGCAAGGATGGTCTAGGGCTCTCGGGGGCAGAAGTTCCAGCTCAGTGTGGAATTCAGCTACTCTGTTCTCAGCCAACAGCCTCATAAGATTAAGCCCCAAAATTCGATATTCTTCTGGTGATGGTGGGAGTATGCCTCTGATGAACAATCACAAAAGCAAACACAATATCAATAGCACTCGGCAAACATAAGTTCAGAAATACAGTGCTCCAGGATAGAACATCTAATGTGGAAATGTTCAGCCGCATCTTTTAGCCACAAGATAATTGTGCTGCTAAAAATCCAGGAGGTGGCACAGATTAAGACAATTCATAGACGTATTCTCATTCCTCAAAATGTTGACTTGACAAATGACAAACAATGAGACCATGTGCTGACTGCTGAACGAGAAAATCTTAATAAATAATTGCATTTTGGTTACTTATATCAAGGGTGTCCTGCTGACACCTGCCATTCCTCACAGGTGCTGTGAGGAATAGAATGCTAAGGTACTGAATAGTGATTAAACAAAAGGTTAATGGTCACAACTTCCGCCAGAATCAAATAGATTGTATCAAGGAAGTGCATGTCCACGATCTGGATGTTTGAAATGTCAATTGTTTTTTTAGGAAAAACATAATTGTGTTGGCACAAGAAAATAAGATAAAAAGATAATTTACGTGCACAACTACATAGGATGGATCTATGCAGCAAGTAGGACCAAAATGTGCTTAAGTAGAAAACAAACCTTGTATCCATGTAGAAAACTTTTAGTTGGAAGAAGTTCCTCTCAAATGCATCTTGGTCCTTAACTTTGATGCTGAAGATAACAGCAAACTCGTATATGGCCCCTGAAAGTTTCATGATCAGTCACCACAGCTAATTTATACAAAACGTAGATTGCAAAATGGTAAACTGCAATGCAGAAGTGTAGCCAACAGTCTTAGAGGAGTTGGTGTTGTAGCATAAAAAATGCTTTCTGGAATTGCAGCTTTTAGTGAAATGGTAAATTGCAATGCAAAAAATGTAGCCAACAGTCTCACAGTAGGACAGTTAGTCCACTACATGCTTGCAAAATGGTAGATTCCAATTAAAAATGTAGCATCAAGGAAAACGTGAACATGGCTTTCTCAAATGGTGCAAAGAACTTGTGTGAGTAACAACAATATTCTCTTCAGAAGAATGCTTTGTAGAACTGCAGAACATACATACAGAGCTCCATATATACATCCTTAAAAGAGTATCCAAAAAACACCTTCATCTGCATAGTACATTTCAAATTAAACAAAAGTCCATATGGTGAAATGATAAATTGCAGTGCAAAAATGTAGCCAGCAGTTTTCATAGTCTACTACACACTTGCAAAATGGTAGATTGCAATTAAAAAATGTAGCATCAAGGAAAACGTGAACAGGGCTTTCTCAAATGGTGTAAAGAATATTTATGACTGACAACAATATTCTCTTCAGGAGAATGCTTTGTAGAATTGCAGTTGTAGTCCATGACTAGCGAACATACATACAGAGCTCCATGCATGCCTTCTTACAAGAGTATTCCACAAAACACCTTCAGCTACATAGCACATCTCAAATTGGATGAAACTCCATATGCAGAACTTTGGGTTCCACTTTATATGAGCATTTCTCTTAAATTGGTTCAGAATCCCACCTTTAACTGAAAATAAAAATGGTTCAACATAATAAAGGACAGAGCGCAGTTTTTTCCAGGAGCAAGTGCTTACTTGCGAGTCTCAGCTCCGCAACTGCATTAGGTGTACTCTTGAATGATGGTGGCATGCTAGGAAACTTTGTGAGGAGAACCTGAAATCAACGAAATGAGGAGACATGTCACCTGATAATAAACGCTGAATTTAGGTGAACCCCTGAAATTCAATACTGAAGCACATCACTTCATCCTGCTGTGAAGCCCCAAAACCAGCACCTACATCAGTACATTGTTATTGTGGAACTGGATATGCACATCTCCAGAACTGCAAACCCTCGCCCCAACTCCTCCCCTCATTTCCAGCAAGCCGCATCAAACCCTAGACAGTAGCAGTACAGTTGGGAAATTTCAGGGACCTACAGGGAGCGCATCCCGAATTCCAGACTCATCCATCCAACTCCCAAGACCTGATCAAACCCAGGTCGAAGTGATCCTCGGAAATAAATAAATAAATCCCGAAGGGATCACCCAAAACCGCTCATAAACCCCATCCTTCGCGCCGCGGAACACCCAAATACAGACAAATTCTCCAAATAAACCCTGCGCATCCACCGTAATACCCCGAATTTCAGCAACACCGCGTATCCAGAGGACAAACGAAGTCAATGTACAAACCCCCCCTCCTTCATCGTCGCAGGAAAAAGACGGAAACGAAGTCGAGCCGTGTGGGGGTGGATGGATACCTTGAGCTCCGAGAGCAGGGTGGCGCAGGAGTCGAGGTCGCCCTCCGCGCAAGCGAGCTTGAGCCACGCGAACTTGCAGTTCGCCTCCTCCAGCTCCCGATCCATGGCGGCGGCAGCTTCGTCCTGCCCAGTTCCCCTCTCCCCCTCCGTTGGCCCCGGTGGTTTTCCTCGGTCGCTTTCTCCTGTGGGCTTTCTTGCGGGAGGAGATGGTGCCGCTGGCGTCGTTGCGGGGGTCTCGTGAACCGTAGGATGTGGAATCGACGGTTACGATCGTTCCCGGGGTTAGTTGGTAAAACGGAATGGTTATGGAGTACCGTTGCGCCTGCAGAATACGTGTTCGCGCTCCGGTGGCGGATTTTTGTGCACCCTCATGATTTGTTACTCAGTTAGCAAAAAAATACGTATATGAAAATATACGGGATTTGATAAAAGAAAAATTGGAGGTGCGGGGAATCGAACCCCGTGCCTCTCGCATGCGAAGCGAGCGCTCTACCATATGAGCTACACCCCCATTGATGCTTACTGCAAAACTAGCAACCAGATATCCCTATGGGGGACGTGCAGTGGCTTATTCCTGGAATATAATATTATTATTTGGATATACTCTAATTGCTACTAGCAGTCTGGCACGCTTGAGGAATGAAGTTGTTAACCAATGCGCGTGCAGCTTCAGGCACGCGATGGCTATCTTGTCGCATCCAACCATACTCAACTGAACTCAACTCCTAGTTTCGGCAGCGGCCACTGGCAGCTGAAAATGCTGCGTTGTTGAGTGGTCTCCGGCTTGGTTCAGAACTGACTTTCAGACGCTTTCAGCCACCTGTTGCCGTGCCGCTCTCATGCACTGCACCCACGCGTCACGTAGGATAGATTGATAGAAACGCTGTAACGGCCCTTGACACCGCGCTCTCGACCGTGTCGTTTTCGGTCACTCTAGCTTGACCCATGTAATGCTGGGCAGCTAGCTTGATTATTATTTTTTCGAAACGGAGAGCTAGCTTGATTTGATTAACGTACCGTTGGTTGGGTTTCAATGCGGTCGCGGCCCGGGCAGGGTGGGCCGACCGGGTTCGATTCTTTTTCTCGGATAAGAGTTCATTGAATTTGCGGTCTGGAACTTGAGCAAACACATGAAAGTTGAGGCTCGAATTATGGGGATGTCTACTCTCTGCACATGTCAGTGTCATGCTTAACAGCTTAGGGCAGGGGTCTCCTCACGCATCCCCGCAAAATAAAAAGGGGGCCTCCTCAAACTCAAGCTCAAGCTAGGGACGGGGACAACCGGGACGATACGATCGAATTTAAGCTGATCATACTGTCATGTCCCTGGGTGTCGCTAGAAAATTCCCAACTCCCAACCCTCCGCAGCGTTCACTGTGCGCGCTCGTGGCTCTTGTGCGCCTCCGAGCTCGTTCGGCCTGGCCGCACGCAGCCACGCACCACCTGCCTCCAGCCCAACCGTCGCTAGAAGAAGGATTACGCGACCTCTGGCTCGAAGAGTTCTTGCAGGAAGATGGAAGATGAACGAAAGCTGCCCCAGCATCGGCGTCGCCGTAATTACGCAGTGCTTGTGCGTCCTCCGCGTTTAATCTCCTCACCTACCCCGGGCCGCAGTCCGTTGCCATTTTGGCCGAGTCTTGCCAGCTTGCTTGCCACTGCCAGTGCCATCTACGGCTCCAACACACTGCATGCACGTGCCCTGCCCCTGCCCCGATCGGAGAAACTAGGCGCCTCGCTGTGCCTGCATGGAAATAGCGAGACCGGGTATGGACGTATGGTGGCAGCTTGTCAGTTTGATTACAAAGATGGCTCTTCCCCACCGTGCCAGGTGGCGTGACCGCGCCGGTAGGCAGACCCCAAGCAACGAAGGGCTCGAATAATAACAAACAACTACTCACTCCGTAAAAAAATATAAGAGCGTTTAAAGTAGTGATCTAAATGATTTTACATTTATTTACAGAGGGAGTACTTTACTAGAAATACCGTCGCGCGTTGTTGTTGGAAATTGCAATAAATGTTAGTGATTTGATGGTATGAAACATTGATAATAGATTTAATAATACATGAACTAAAACTAAAAATAAATATTATATATTACTCCTTCTGTAAACTAATATAAGAGCATTTAGATAACTAAAATAATGATCTAAACACTTTTATATTAATTTACGGAGGACTACATACGATTATTCTGTGGTCAATTTCTTTTTAATAGTGTCATCATAGTGGGGAAAAAATCCCATGCATGTCGAGTGGACATGTGATGAGATGGCATGTGTGGTGAGGTGGGATATGTGCATGGGTTTATCGGTGTACAAAAGTATGGGCTCTTTCTG